CACTTCATATACAATGTAAACTACACCCCAAAACATCCTTTCACCCACAGTTACTACTGTGTTTCACCAGTGTATTCTATTTGACGTCATGAGAAATTGAAATAAACAAATTAATTATAATTTCAGCCTCTAGTTTACCACTGATTAAATAAACTACCTCGTCTTTATGTCAACTTGCAGTTATTCGTTGCCTACATCAGTGACTTCAAAATATATGTTTCAATCCCAGGAATTTCACTCGCTGTTAATTGCATGGGAGTGGCAGTCTTTAATGAATTTCTATTGTCATGTCAATTTCTTGCGATTACTCGAACATTAAGCTGTAACCACACACCGCCTAGGTGCTGTAATTAAATCCTGGTGTAAGCACCATATGAACTATGAACAATGCATGTGAAGCCAGCTGTGGGGTATATTCAATCCTATAGATTTCTCATTGTTTGGTAACTATTTGCTGCAAATGCAACAAAAATCAATATAAAAAATATTACCCACACAGTATTCTACAGGTTACTTGTTTAATTTGTTGTTCATTTATTCATGTGCAATTGTTTATTTGAGAAAGATACCTAACATTATAAAAACCGCGATATTTAATATGATATGGTGAAATTAAATGCTAAGTATCACATTTATAAAGGAATATGAACATCAAATTAGCAGATGACATTCAACTCGTTAGCTCTGGCTACATTGTAACTTTGCAATGTAGAAGGCGATTGTTGAACACCCGAATCATACACTTAGCACTTGTTTGACCTCTGTATGCAGGTTCATATTACAAATATCACATTACAGCGATTGGCTGTTGACTACTAATTCCATCTTGAGCGGCAATTTTGAAACTGTTATACTACAAAGGAGAAATCAGCACACTATAAATACATGATGTGCCTAGATGAGCGGTGATTCATCACAGTTTTTCCGATTGTTGAACACCAGCGTTGATACACAAGATAATTATTCTAGTGATGACCATTCGTATTAACCCTATGATGATAGTGTCTATTCTGAATCGCCCAATACAAGCAAAGATCACCTTATCGACTTCTTTCCGAAGGTAACGACGATCGTATGGATATCACATCATATAATGGTCGAGATACCACTGGTATGCACGATGAAACAAGGTCACTTGCAAACGTGAAATATGACAGTTGCACAAACTCTACACCAGCTTATGAAAGCTTTATAGACACACAGTTCGACACCCTCGACAGCAATGCTAACCATAGAGACATCTCGTATCAGCAAATAAACTAACTGCAAATTGGAACTTGCGAAATGGGTAAGTATTCGTCACATACATATATTATGTTCTTCGATCATATCGTAGCGTTGTGACCGTGTCAGTTTGAAAACACGTAGATATATCCGATTTACATCATTTTGTAGTGATGCTGCCAATTTATAAACAAGGTAGCACAGTGACTGTGACACGTCTGTATAAACAAAATACAGGGTGCATTGTGTCAATATTTTCAGATCGAAGGCCCAATTGTAAGCGGCAAGCAAACTGTTTTATGGTGATTTTCCTCATCTTCGCCTACAAGCATTATTCATATGACCGTGAGCAAAATGATACACAGCGTTGATCGCCAAATTAGCTCACCGTAAATTTGGTAATTGGAATTTGTTCGCATTTTACTTACTATCAAAAAACGAGATTAGTGAACTATTTCTCTAAAGCACTCCGAGGACTCAAGTCAGTGGGGGTATTCATATTGACGGGACGGTGTTATTGCTCGAAGGAAATAGAGCAATATAAAGAGTCATCTGAACTACAAACTTGACTCAGTGCGATTAAATATTATTGAAAGTATATATGACAAAGCACAAAAACAAAATTCGCGGGTAAATATAGTTAATACTATTACGTTTCGGATTATTATTTAATCACGATACCATTTTGACTTAATTGTAGTCACGGCGTTAATGTTAGTAATGTCATTAATTATTTTCGTTCATTTTAGAGTGTAACCAAACAATGGAGGCATCGAGTTAGAATAGCAGTGACCGTGAAGCCACAGTCGTCAACCGAACTTGGCAAGATCAACTTTCCAGTAATGGATGTATTGACCCAGCAGTATGAGGTCAAATAACCAGACATAAGCAAGTCATTATTAAGTTTAAATGAAGATCTATAACCAGCCTGCACAGAGTGTGCGACATTGTTTCGGAAATTCTGACAAAGTCACCATCAGCCGTTAAAGCATACTCTTAACAACACATTACTAAAATATTTGTTCGGACATATATATTGTACCTATTTGTTAACTACAGCCTTCGTAGTTACGCTGTCTGGGCGGGCGTGCGTGTGTGTGTGTGTGTGTGTGGGGGGGGGGGTGACTTAGTATTATGATGTCAGCCTAACACACTTTCATCAAGCATGTGTGTACAAAACATATCTGAAAACATTTTCAGGTGTAAAATGAATTACACACTGTTTTTGTTTCACACATTCAATATTTCTAACTGCACTGGTATTACACACCAATTTATTTTAAAGTTTTATGAATATTTGTTTGAATAAAGTTTATTTTTCGTCAGAATATTTGTCACTGGACGAAATAAAACATAAAAATACCGGTCAAATGCAGTGCTAATATAATTAACAGTGATTATGAATTATTTTCTTTTAATATGTTTCATTTCAACACTTAACTAAATGTTTCACTCAGGCTAATTAAAAATGTAAAATTACATGGCGGTAGAGCTTGCAAATTTATTTAATATGTGAGTGAATATGAAGACTGCCAGAGACAACATGTTTTTTGTCGTTTAATTGTTATGTACACAGGGAAGCTTATTGGACGAAAAATATGGGTGAGATGTTTTGTTTATACGAAACAGCATTAACTTGTGAAAATATGGCAAAATGGACGATTTGGGACTGAGAAACGGAATTCGCTTACATGGAAAGTCAAATGTTCACATTATCATAATCAAAATCATCTGTATGGTCAGCTTACATGTAAGCCAGGATATTTTCGTGTTACAAGTGAACATGGTGGAGTGGTTCTAACACGTTGCTTACATGCAAACTAACCATGTCTATCTATGGTCAGCTTACATGTAAGCCAGCCTATTTCCACATTGCCAGTGAAGCATTGTGGACTGGCTTTAACACGCCGCTTACATGTAAGCCATCCATGTTTATCTATGGTCAGCTTACATGCAAGCCAGCCTATTTCCACATTACCAGTGAGCATTGTGGACTGGTTTTAACACGCCACTTTCATGCAAGCCAGTCATGTCTATATGGACACTGCCTATGAACAGCTTACATGTAAGCCAGGATATCTCCACGTTACCAGTGAACAATGTGGAATGGTTTTAGCACGCCGCTTACATGCAAACCAACAAGGTCTATATGGACACTAACTATCGGCAGCTTACATGTAAGCCAGCCTATTTCCACATTGCCAGTGAGCATTGTGGACTGGCTTTAACACGCCGCTTACATGTAAGCCAACCATGTCTATCCTATGGTCAGCTTACATGTAAGCCAGCCTATTTCCACATTGCCAGTGAGCATTGTGGACTGGCTTTAACACGCCGCTTACATGTAAGCCAACCATGTCTATCTATGGTCAGCTTACATGTAAGCCAGCCTATTTCCACATTGCCAGTGAGCATTGTAGACTGGTTTTAACACGCCACTTTTATGCAAGCCAGTCATGTCTATATAGACACTGCCTATGAACAGCTTACATGTAAGCCAGGATATCTCCACGTTACCAGTGAACAATGTGGAATGGTTTTAGCACGCCGCTTACATGCAAGCCAACAAGGTCTATATGGACACTAACTATCGGCAGCTTACATGTAAGCCAGGATATCTCCACACTACCAGTGAGCATTGTGTACTGGTTTTAACACGCTGCTTACATGCAAGACAACAAGGTATATATGGAAACTAACTATCGGCAGCTTACATGTAAGCCAGGATATCTCCACACTACCAGTGAGCATTGTGGACTGGTTTTAAAACGCCGCTTACATGCAAGCCAACAAGGTATAGATGAACGATACCTATTGGCAGCTTACATGTAAGCCAGAATGCATTTATACCATGTTATTCGCATGGTTTTGTGGATGATTTTGATGTTGTGAAACATTCTGAGATAGTTTTCCATAGAAATCCAATGATTTGTCACATTTTGCACTGTGTCAAAAGAAATTTCACTTCGTTCGCTTATTATACATGTAAGGGGTCCAAGCCTAAGCCCTTGTGTTTTTTGGGGTTCCTAATTACAGAGCTCTGCGGCTTTAATTTTACGATATTATGATCTTGATAAGAATGCTTCGCATTTTATTCGAATTACTGCTCGTGTAATTGTTTCACAGACGGTATTGATTTGTTTGAACACGTCGTCATTGTACAAAAGCAACATTGCGTGCATTTCACTTGAGTTGAATGACGGAACAGTGGTATACGTAGAAAGGCAACATTATGCTGAAGGCAACTGTTAAGTCAGGAATTTTAGTTCAATATATCATTGAATAAATAAATACATTTATGGTACTTAATTGTTAGCCTATCCAACATGACATTATAAACAACAAAAGGCCCCACACACAATTAATCACTGGCAGTATAAGTATCACATGTCAATTTTAATGAATATATCGCTACAAGAGTTTTTTAAGGTTACACAGTGTGGTCGTAGTAAATTGTGATCGCGCTCTGCATAGTATGGGCCGTTTTAAAACTCAGAAAATCCCTTAAATACGAACACGTAATTACACGAAGAATATAGAACACCTTTCTGGGGTATTTGATACCAAAAATTGTCATTCCAGCTCAGCAGCCAATCAGCGACGGCCTTGCAGCTATATGACAATTTTGGTTTCAAATACCCCGGGAAAGTGTTATATGTTCTTCGTGTAACTAGGTGTTCGTATTTAAGGGATTTTTCCACACAAAACACGACGAATTCGGCCGAATTTTGTTATCGGTTAGCTTAATATTACCCCCAACGGATCGTATTTATGTGAAAGATTGGCATTTTTCTCCTGATTTGTAGGAATCTGAAAAACGCGTTTCACATCTTGTCTCTTATTTAGTTTGATACCCCTTCACATTTGCTTGTGAAACATCAGATGCTGCGGCATCTACAAGTGCTACTGTCTCATTAATTCATCAATCTCCAACCATAACCACGTTTTCTAGTTCAGCTTCTATTCATATGACTAGTTCGGTCTAATTATAGTTATTCCCACAAACACTACTGTCGCAGCTTCTGAGTCATCATTCACTAGCCCAGCTTCAGATGATTCTGTCAAGCCACATTTGTACGTTCATCTGCACCAACGGCTCTTTTTTCACTGGTTCAGCTTTATTTCACCCTGCTAACACAACGGCTACGGAAGTATAACAAAATTAACAACGGACTTACCTATTCATCCTGGGCATATAATTATCTACAACCTCTACCTCAACCATTTGCTTGGTTTCAAGTCTACTTTCTGCTACTTCTGCTACTACCTTGTCTACTTTCCATTCTCCTGCACCTACTACATCTGACCATGGAGGTATTAATACCTTCATGATCTGACTCAGTTTCACCTTGCAATGAAACTAAGATTAGAATAGTCGAAGCGCCAAACAAGTTGCTTGATGTACCTTGTTAAAAAATAGATACCCTGAGTATTTCTACAACCCACGACAAATAGATAAGTGGAAAGCATTAAATAAATATCACAAACTAATATGTAAACAAAATTGGGCCAACCTACCGTAAATGTCTGCAGAAGAGGCAATGTCCGAAAAATGATGACCCCTCAGTACAACCAGTTTATGTTGCAGGGAAACGTTACGAGAATGCTTCCAGTTGATATTCAATGGGTTTCACTGTCCGTTTTTATTTTGTTTATCTCGTTCATGTTGTGCTCATAAGAATACTAACGCAACATATATTTAGGCTATGTTATAAATACAAATACACCTACATGGTTTTGTTGATTGACGTGCTCATGAATAATAATTTATGCACATTTTACGATTGTTTTTCAGCCAATCGTGATTGTGCCATGCATCCCGCCATCTACGCTGCAGGTCTGTCTCCTCTTTTTACAGACACAACTGCGTCAGACATATTATAAAAATACGATTGTTAGCATGGGACAACAACAACAGAAGTGCGTGTGTGCTGCTTTTCATTTCTGGATGCAACGTTACTAATAACTTATTTTAGCGAAGAATTTACTTCTCATCTCTAGTATTGTAATGACAGTTTCTAACATCAGAATCTAGCATTACAAATAATTTAATTCCACATACAGAAACGAATATATTTTATAATCACAATTTTATCATTTTATCTTGTTTATGACAACTTAGAAGAACCGGTGACGTCATGCTAAATATAAGGACCGTACACATTCCTCCTGTGTTCTTCGTATTATCATGCCTGTCATGCTTGGCAGTGTTTGCTGTATGGTGGCCCAATACGAGGTGCGAATTGGAATTGATATTATTGTGCAGTACTAGTCGCAAGCCTCATATCTGCCAGTGACCAATATATTTTCTATATCTTTCACAGTCGAAAATTCGAGAGAAAATTCTAATAGCCAACCGAGTTGATATAACTATTCTATCATTTGGAAGGATAAGATTTTTTTCACATCTCTTTTAATACGACATATGCACATTTCTATTCATATGACTCGTGAACATTTCTATTCATATGACTAAACACATTTCTATTTATATGACTGAAGCACATTTCTATTTATATAACTAAAACACATTTCTATTTCATATAACTGAAGCACATTTCTATTCATATGACTGAAGCACATTTCTATTCATATGACTGAAACACATTTCTATTTATATGACTGAAAGCACATTTCTATTTATATGACTGAAGCACATTTCGATTTATATGAATGAAGCACATTTCTATTTATATGACTGAAACACATTTCTATTTATTTGACTGAAGTACATTTCTATTCATATG